TTTTGTTTTTGGAAATATAAGCTTTTGAAAATATTGAAAATTCCATCTTGAGCCCCCTTTAGCTCCGCCCCTATTAATTTCCACCAAAAATGGTTTACACCTTTAAAATCAGTAAAAAGGGGCGGACCACGCCCACTTTTAATTTTTATTTTTCTTCAACGGCCGCTATACTGCACGTGTTCCTTATTTCACTATGCTGATAACATGCTGATAGTAAGCTAACATCTCAATGTGTAACCATTCCGAAATCAAAGCGAGACAGTCTAGTACTGTTTTTGTCAATGTATTGTGTACTTGCCCACTGGGAAAATAGGTAAGCACCTTGCGAGGTAAGCCATGTTTTCTTTCAGTTTTTAGTACCAAAATTGTAATCATGGCCAATGTCATCTACTAGTAAAGGGCAAAATGAACACCTCCGAAGACACATTACGTTGTCAGTTGCAAAATAACGTGCACCCGAAGTTATTTCCAAGCACCGAACTACTCCGAGCGACTGCTCTGCATTACTAGTAACTTACTTTGTAAAGCGGCTCAGAAGTATGTCTGATACCAAATGTACATTCTAAATTCCTACTTACATAANTGCCGGTTTTGTAAATGTGTCGTGTACATGTTTATTTATAAACGTATGTGTTCCTTTTCTTTCGTACGTGTTTATTGATATATCTGTACTGTAGTGTTTTCGGACGGTACTAGCTCTTACTGCCAATATAGGAGTATTACATATATGGCTGATAAGCTATGTGAGAAAATTTGGGAAATCCTGTTTATAAAATCTGTCCAAATTTCCAAATGGTTTTAGAATGTCAATATTACATCAATTAATATCATAATGTAGATGGTCTTTTGGCAATAAACGTTTCTACCAATAAAGTAGCAATTTATAAATGCAATAACATTTTGGAGAATGATAATAGAATGTATATTCTAATAGTGAAAAATCCACATTAAAAATAATTATTAGAGCGAAGAGTTTGGAAGCATACAAAATAATTTTAGTATGTACCCTGCCAGCCAAAAGTAGTGAAAAATCTGGTGAAACCGCGGGTTTCGGTCACTTCAAAACTGGCGACAAAACTGGTGACTTTTGTATGGGCGGTGTGCAGATTGTCTCCACTTTCCCCCTGTACGTGTGAGCCTTGCATCACTATCCCACTCGTAAGGAAAACATCGCTGCCAGCCAAAAGTAGTGAAAAATCTGGTAAAACCGCGGTTTCGGTCACTTCAAAACTGGTGGCTTTTGTATGGGCGGTGTGCAGATTGTCACCACTTTCCCCCTGTACGTGTGAGCCTTGCATCACTGGCCCACTCGTAACCGCAGAACTCCACAAGCAAACACCGATGGCCTACCAACTGTCATTTTGACGAGCAATATGATTGCAAGTTTTTGTGTGTGGGCACTTTGATGTCTTGAAATAAGCATTTGCCGCATGACGCCACCAGACAACATTCTCTCAATTTCGGTGTTTAAAAGCATTTAAATCTTTAAAAAATTTGCTGGATAATTTCCTAAACCGTAATCTTAAATAATCCAATAGGGAACAGATTTTTATTTTGATTTAATATCAAAATTCCATCGATGTTACCACCAGAACGCTTTCTTTCAAATGAAAATATGACTGTCAAACTATCGAATTGCCTGCAATAGATGTCAAGCAATAAGCGCTGACATATTGCAGCCCATGAGAAATAGGCGGTCTCCATTGGAAATATATTTTGTGACATGGTTATTATAACATCAGTGTTTTCCTGTGGAGACAGGGCCTAAGGAAAACATATAGCTGCATTCCTCTAAAATTTCGCCACGTCAGCCGGCGCAGGGTTGCATTTTCTTCACGGCGAATTCAAAATAAGCTTACTTAGGGTTTACACCGGACAATATTGTCAAGACAATTATGTCAAAATAATGTGTAATATAAATTCGCCGTGTTCACAACAAACACATTATTTTGATATAATTGTCTTGACAATATTGTCTGGTGTAAACCCTAAGTTAGAAACTTTAAATAAAAAATCTTTAAATTTTTTTCATTTTTATTTTGCAAAATTTATTTTTCAAAAGGCTTTCTTAATCTAATATACATAGTTAATAATCAATGTTATGAATAAAAATTATAATTAACATTATTAATAAATATATTTTTACACACATACGTGGTTGCTTAATTTCTTATTATTAGTATTACTCCTTTGCATATAGATATTTTCAAAAGTTTAAAAATTTCTATAAAAAAGTTGAGCGATTTTAACAATGTTATAATCAAAAGAAAGGTAATCGATTAAACTCAGTTTTTTGATGGTGCTCCTGGCGATGAAGCTGCTGGCATTGAAGGTGCTGATGGTGAATGCCAATCTGTAAACAAAAAAAAATATCAATTAAAATTTATAAACATATATAAAATCTCAATTGGGGTATTCACAATGGTGTCGTAAGTGTCGCATTGTTGTATGTCGTAAACTTTAAAACCCTAAAAAACATATTAAGGGGGTTCGCAAAGTACCATCAAAGTCATATTTTGAATTTTCGCATCCGATGTTTTTAACTTGCTCGCTCTAACGAATAGAATTCTTATTAGAGTACGAATTCTTATCGGGTACGCAGCTCTAACAAAGGGAAATATCTTTGACAGTTGAAACAATTTGTAAGTGTGTGGGTGAGATGCCTAAAAGGTTGTTAATAAGGGTATTCATCAAACCTTATTAATGCATTGCGAACCGTATAAACTTATAATTGTGTACACCTTATAAATGAACTGTCAAAATTTGTATGGAAACTCGTTTACACATTTCTGATAAATTTATCCAGCGATTTCACTGAATAAACTTGATAAGCTGAAGTCAATGCAACTCTAGCTATGTTTTCTTGGGCAAAAATCGGGATCCGCATAAAAAGTTTGCATGCAAATTCAACAAAAACGATATGATCCTGATAGAGATCTGGTTCAATTATTATCCGTTCTGTTTGTTTTGTTTCACTGATAATTTGGCCGCAAAGTTTGGTAGCCGTGACAAGTGAATTCATACACAAACAGACATTCTGTCATTGTTTCTTTTAACTTGCTTCAAATAAATAGCCTTTATATTACATTTACATTGGACCAAAATGCGTGATTTGAAATCAGTCATTTGAAGGTGTTTACACTGCTTGATCCGCATTTGCTTTGACTTCTCATCAAATGAAAAGGGAAGACAAAAACAAAATGTATGTAAACAAACACTACATTTATTATATTGTTAACGCTTTTTGGACACAAAAAGGCAATTATTCTTTGATTAAACTAAAAATGTGTAAAGCTCTTGTATAAATTAACAATTTTTACACACAAATTTCAAAGATTTA